AATACTAAACCCTATCTTTTACATATCCCACTCAAAAGTCCCTTCTTTATTGCGTAGGCTGGGGTGGTCGCTCGTTACGGAAGTCCTTCCGACAACTCAATCTTAACGGTAACCTGATCTTGAATAGTCCGTGGTTAAATTCTCTTTGTACAATCGAACACTGTTAAACAGAATACGCCTCTCCCCAGATTTTAACTCCAAGCTATCAATTGATGCTGAGTTAAATCTTAATAGTTGTATGACGTTCTATAGAAATCCAAGATTGAAAAGACACCTCTTGCTTTTCCATGCGTCCATTATGAGAAAGGAGGGGAGCGTCTCGCACTGGTGCAAAGGAAATACCCCATCCGTACCTAATTATATTCGTACAGATACACGTTCTTGTCATAGGTTTTGATAACACAATTCGCAAAAATGTAGCTTCCTACTTGACTCACTCTCAGACATATTATCAGACCATGGGTTTTATATTGTGCCTTTACCCATAGCCATTTCGATTTTGTTTTGGCTTGCACTCACATAGTTGCTTGTCATTATGTTACAATGGAGACAAAATGTTTGTAGTCTCCCCGGGGGGCGGGGTGCTACTGACTAAGTCTTTTGGCTATTCCCAAAGGGGGGACATTAACATGTTCTTATGCACTGTAGAATTGTAAATGGGCTCATTCATCAGTTTCATGCTCATAACTGTGCCTGAACTGCAACAGGGAACTGCTGCTTTTTCTTTCCTAATCCTTACTATCGCCATTTTCCCTCTACTTCTTTTTTATTGTTTGTCACTCTTGTGATCCCCCTATTCCCGGGGTGCCTTGATAGTCGAAGTAGACTCTGTGCTGTTGAAGCTAGAGAGGTGAGCAGAGTAAGCCTGATTCCCTGTAAAGACTTCCACGTTGACATCCACCTCTTGGAGCTCATATGACCTTATGCAGTTGAGAGTGCCGTAAAACCTCTACTAAAACAAACTAAAACAAATTAGTCTTTGTTAAATCTGAACTGATAAGGAGCTAAAATGACGTTCAAGGGGCTCAATGACAACGGGCTATTATATTTAGGTTAAAAAAACAAAACAACAGCGTCGAAGTAAGCATATGGTTGAATGATGCATCTGATGAGATATGTACATTTTGACAGCTTTACTTTCTTTTAGCATTAAATTTTAGTGAGAGAAATTTATAGTTTAGTTTTTATGCTGGTGCATGTGTTTTTACTGTCCTGTACAGCCAAGAAAAAATTCCCTCTTGGACCATAAAGTATTATCTTACCTTGCCTTATCGTATTTTGTATATTGTTATATCAGCTGTACTTTAAATCGAGACAGGATTAAACTTCATTTTTAGTCAAAGTCATGTGCTTTTTCTCTAGTTCGTTGAGGTGAGTGGGTTTGAAGTCCCTAAACTATGGTGTTAGTCACCGTTACGTCAAATTATGCATTCCAGGTATAGGCCTACTGACTATAAACCTGAAGCGTAATAGATCATTTTAGAAATGTCACCTCTATTGATTTTTTTAACGCACCTACTCGAGTGAGTCGCGGTATCAGCCTGTACAAGTGGCTAACCCGTCACGATTTGTCAACTTCAAAAGTCAAGCAGTGACGGACATCTTCACTTTTTATTTAAAAATCATGAGCCGTTGAGTACTAAAAGTATCGACATTGCATTAAGTCACATTGCACTTTAAGTTAAACATTTTGAGTATATCAGGTCTCCATGTACATTAGGGCCGTTTCATAGTCTGATTTCTAGGGTCTAGTTTAATGTGTCTATATCCGTCTTTAGAAATTGATCACCACTAAGCTGTTTGTAGATTTGAATACGGTACCATACATTTGTTACGAATACATTCTGAAATGATTCTTTAGTACGAAAGTAAAGAGGAATGCTGTTGTTTTCCTTCAAAGACAAAGACTCATCCAGTTGACAATGAGTTGCTTAAAAAGAATGAAGATATGCATGTCCGGATCAAACATCCCCCCCCCCCAGCCCCATTTCCAGTTCCTTGGAAAGGAGTACTAAAGTTAGCATAGCTGTACCGATAGATATACGAGTACAAACCTCTAAAACATGGCATATAATGTGCTTTAATTCTGCGAAAGATATAACATTTTCTAATGTTGATCTTTCGGAGTCGGACATGGACCCAACCTGTCAGGGTCAACCTGAGCTGAAAGGGATACAAGGCCCCAGTAGAAAGATGGGCATACTCGACTAAAAGTTTTCTCGCACGGGTATCGAACTCAGATCTTCAACATGCAACGGCCACACCACAGAAGCTAGTGACAAATGATTCAAATGCTGTCTTGAGCCGATAGATGTGACCCCACTCAATATGATATTGCTTTTCTTGGAGAGGAATTAGGGTTTGATGTCTGAGAGGAGCAACTTATTGTGTCTCATCGGTTGCTATTCTTTGTATAATCTACTAACGTTGGAAGACAAATTTTAAATCTTCAGAATAAAAGTCTTTTTGATACTTGAAAGGTCAGACATCCTTGATTTAGGCCATGGTAAGCACTATCATAATATCTTTAAAATGTCTGTTATCATGCCCTGACAAATACGTTTACGTAACATTCAAAGAGAAACCTATGATGCAGCAAGGAGGCACTCATACTTCCAACACATATTTGCTTTGTTTCTTGATTTTGAAAATACACATTTGCTCTCACAAAAAATACAAACTTTACAAGAGTTAAAAAAAGCAAAAACACAACACACAAAGTTGGAACGTTTATAACTCTGATTTTTCTAAAAATAAGATTTTGTATTGAGGATGCAATATAAATCGAAAATATAATATCATGCCTTTCATGTTAAATTGCACTTTCAGTTATAATTCTAAAACTTGTATCATTTTTCTGCTTCCCTATCTTCTTTTAAGTAAACAATAGTCGTTTCTTTTATCTGGAATGATCATGTTCTTAAAAATTGCTAGAAAGTAAGTATAATACAGGGAAAGTAGTAAAGCTCAGCTAACTATTTCTCCCCGATACTGGATGGAGGACTGATGTGGAATTCATTCAATGGCTTGACTTGCCAAAAAGTTGGAGGCTATCTCACTGAGGATTGGCGCCAAAACATCAGGATTGTCGATATTGTCGAACAGCGTCAGTATGGTATCATCAGCACCTCCGACACTGGTCTCCATTAAACTGCTACACTGGGCTAAAGACTGTTGAGATGTGGTTTCTATTTCTTCGATTTCTCCTATACTTGTTCCAGAAGCGTCGCTATCGGTCGAGCTTGTTACTGGGACGAAAACTGGACCATTACCACGTCTTCTTCTAGTACCCCTTGGGTTAGCATCGCCGGCTACCTCAGTTTCGGATCCTGGCAGACTGACAAGAAAAGATGAATCATCGCTTTGGTCAACATTAGATCGTGCTCTCGGTAAGAAGCTCGTCCTTCTCGAACGACGTGGACCAGAGAAAACAGGAAAGTCCGGGACGGATATCACTATTGGTGCTTCTGTACCGACTTCTGCTTCACTTGGTACTGGTACGTCTTCAGTGTCTGTAGAATGGGCCTCGGAGGGTTCCTGGGAATTGACCTGTGGCGAAGCAGCCTGAAAGCTGTCTTGCTGAGATGAGGCCTGAGGAGGAAGAACCTGCGGAAGGGGACCACGTGTGTTCCGTCTCCTGCCAGACCGGTCTCCAGGACGCCCTCTGCGCGTTCTGCTATCACTATGAACATCTTGTTGCGGGTTTGCGGTATTAGCCGATACAGGAACAGGCAACTCTGATTCCCTCCGCCGACTCCCTGCGCGCCTGTCAGTTGACGTCGTCCTTCTTCCCATTTCTGGTGGGGCAGGTCCTGCATTTGGAACTATTTCCGGTACGTTTCTAAACCCACGACTTCCTCGCGATCGGCGGCCAGCTTCTCTGATAATGTACACCTGATTTCCTCCCTGGGTCACCGGCTGTCCACTAGACCTCCCTCCTCGCCCTCCGGATGATCTGAAGCGTCCTGCTCTACCATTGATGTTCCGACCACGATTCTGTGCTGTACTAACTGATGCCAGCGTCCACAGCAAGAGGGCCACGGCTGTCCAACAGCGCATGGTATATAACCAAGCTGAAACAAAAAGAAAAGTAAAAACACAATGAGAGTGACTTACGTGCCAGGATGGTCTCAGTACTTTAAGGTTTCAAGATGGTAGCTTCCATTACATAGCCAATCGTCTCAGGGGTGAAAAGGGAGGGTGGCAGATAGATAGAGGAATAGAGAGAGATGGGAGAGACCGATAGACAGTTAGTCAGACAGACGGATAAACAGATACAGCGAGCAAATGGGGGAGATTGGGTGAGAGAGAGAGAGAGATAAAGAGAGAGAGAGAGAGAGAGGGGGGGGGAGAGAGAGACAGACAGACAGACAGACAGACAGACAGACAGACAGACAGACAGACAGACAGATGAGGCAGGCCCATTCAAAGAACCAGTCTTTTTGCCATAGTTCTGACTTTGAGTTTGGATATTTAATGTATTCGTCATCATCTTTCGGATCAACGGAAAAGAAGGCAAAACATGAACAAAGATGATAGATAGAAAGTATGTTATACCCTTATCAACATTAATGAGATGGGCCTTTTAGACCGCAGCAGGCAGGGTCAACACGGGCTGACTGGTATGCAGATCCCACAAAACAGACGGGGATAATCGATAAAACATTATCGTCAAGGCTCGAGAACTGAAATCAAAATCATGTGTTTTCCTTGCAACCCTGAATGCGCCCGTATAACCGTAATAATAATATCAATGGTGAGAATAATGATAGCAATGGTAAAAAAAAAGATTTTTAAAATACTACTACTACTACTACTACTACTACTACTACTACTACTACTACTACTACTACTACTACTACTACTACTACTACTACTACAATTATATACTAATAATGCTAACTCTCTGAAAACGGCTCAAAGGCTGAATAATATGTTGTTTTTTTATGATAACATGTCGAAATAAACAAAGTGCGCTTTGGAACATCTCTTTTCATTTTTTTTCTTTTTTGGGGTGGTCAATTTTTCAATATAATACTGCATTTAACTTTCAGGAGGATAAGGAGCCTTGAATAATCCCGAAAAGATCCCGTTCAAGAACGCGTTCATTCGAACCAAGCCCTTCTACACCGTGGACCATTATACGACCACTTAAGTTATCTGCTTACATTTCAGGCTTTGTCTGTGTTGCCATGATTAGGCGCTCGCCGTCGCATGCAGGAGACCTGAGTTCGATTCTCGCTTGGGGAGAACTTTTATCTAGTACATTGGTCTTTCTACTGGGACGTTGTATCCCTCTCAGTCCTTGTTGGCTCTGACTGGCAAGGTCCAAGCCTGCTTATTAAATAATACGTATACGTAAATTGTGTCGATGTAATTAGATGTACTTACATTATAACACTTTTATGGGAATCTTACTTGGAATCAAAGTGGGACAGATGATAAGTTAATATTTTAGTGTCAGGCGCGGTTCGTCCATAGAGCATGGTCGTGCAGTGCCACCCAAAATGTTTTAATGTTCTATTACGTAAAACGTCCACAATCATAAAATAAAAGAAGCCAGAAACAAACACTAGCCAAATATTATATAAAAACAAGATCCTCACTGGTGCATTAACTGTCACTTCTGTGTCTATAGCGCGTAAAACATCTACTATGCCATGCCAAAGTCCACGCGCTTTAGCTAAACATAACAGTCTAGTATTCATATGATATTCAACTGTGTAACCTGACCTATAAATCGCTCTTGGGGATAACCCAAGCGATGACGACACTCGTAGCGAGTTAAGCGGTACATTAATATTGATAAGACGGCACATCTCAAATGTGCTCCTGCCGAATAGTGCCGAAACATAGCCCACAGTAGGCAGTCTAAAAATAAACGGGATAGATCGTACGCTATTCTTTGCCAATATTATGTGAACCCCGGAGCAATCCAGCGGAGTGTTCGAGTGAATTGTGATTAGTTCATTGTCCGCCTTTCCACTATTTTAAGTGACTCTGTGACTGTGACCGTGAACCTGAGGGAGGTTAACGGGACCGTTCTACGAGTTATGTGCCTTTGAATGGTTTTGTAGTGGAGTGGTGAAAATTTTTACATGTACTTGAGTGTTCAGTTCCAATACCTGAAGAACGAAACTGATGTTTAGTTAACAAACAAATTTAGTACTAGAAATCAAAGCGACAAGTAAAAAGAATGAAAATAAAAGCACGAGGTCCTCCCTTACCGACCCAAAGATCCTAAAACTATACACCGTCTCATTTACTATGCCCTTGACTATCTTCTGCATGCAATAGCTTAATTGTGCACGTCCATTTTTAGCCCCACGAGCCGCCCTGGCCCTGCTCAGTGTGCTTCATCTAGCTGGAAAATTTTATTTTGACTTAAAAATTCCTAGGCGGCATCAGTCTCGTTGGATTTAATGCCATCTTCAACACTGTTAAGCTCATCATTCGGTGATCAAAGTCCTCGATAGGACAGACAAAAGTGACAGTAAAACTTTGAAAAGACGTTCAAGAAGGCGTTTTTGAGATTCAGCTATGGCTTAGCATGGCTCAAGCAGAGATAATGGCAGGCCCAGGAGGGCAAGGATCAGATTTGGGAGCAGAGAGCAGGTGAACAAGTTGAGCGAGCGGGGATGGGGGCTGTGGATGTGGGAGCGGTGGTCGAGAGCACAGGATAAAGATAATAATATGTACAGGTGTAGGGAGTTAAGAATGCATTCATAAGTTAAACTGTAGGAGCATACTTCCCAAGGACCATTTATGCTAGATAAATCGATTCCCGCCCCCCTCCTACCCTCCCAACCCCCGTTTTATAAAAGAATAGTGCGTTCCAGACAGTTGCTCAGAAGAACAGGCTGATTACTATTATTTTGGTGTCTCTTTGAATAGCAAGAATGTATGAAACACTATAATCATTCAACTCTCCCTTTCACCCCCCTCTCTCTCTCTCTCTCTCTCTCTCTCTCTCTCTCTCTCTCTCTCTCTCTCTCTCTCTCTCTATCTCTCTCTCTCTCTCTCTCTCTCTCTCTCTCTATCTATCTATCTATCTATCTATCTAACTCTCTCTCTTTCTTGCTCTCATTATATCTAAATTTCTTTCTCTCTCTCTTTTTCTTTCGATCTTTTTCACTCAGTCTGTTTCTTTATTTTCCTTTCACTATCATTTCTATCCCTCTACTTGTCTTTTGTTTCTTTCATTCTTTCTTTTTATATTTTTTCTCCTCCAGTCTCTGTTTGTCTATCTGTCGGTCTCTTTTTTCTATCGATCACCATTTTGTCTCTTTCTCGATCTTTAATTTATCTCTATCAATCTCTATCTACTCGTATGTTTCTATGTTTCCATCTATCTGACAAAGTATTTGTCTGTGGATCTGTATGTTTTCTCTGTCTTTATGTCTCTTTTTTCTTTATCTACCTCTACTTTCCAATTGCTGTTTCTCTCATACACACACACACACACACACACACACACACACACACACACACACACTTACACACACGAACGTCCACACTTGCATACGCTTATGCACTAATGGGATATGTCTACCGTTGCCTATTGTGTATTTGTGCATCATAAAACTCATTTAAAACGTATGTGGCCAAATAAACAATTAAGGAATGTGTTTGCTATTCAAATGTTATCTTCTCCATATGTTGACCATTTCTCGCCTGCCAAACCCGAACAACACTACGTCGCTGGAGTATTTAAATAACCCTGTGGCATGTAGCGGCGGGGTGAGATGTTGGGTATGGAAGAGGCAAAGTGGGGAAAGTGGTGGCCGGAGTTTGGGAATTGGAGGGGCGACCAGCAATGCTGTGTGTAATGTCTATGTGTGCATTTAAGTTACCCTCTGTGAAAATAAATATCCAAGCAAGGGTATCAATCAAGCGTTTCTTTTCAATTGTATTTTTCATTTAGAAAATATATTTTAAAATATTGACAGTAATATTATTGCAAAATTGTAACAGCTGTAGAAAGTTTTACATGATCGTCTACACGTAAAGTTTTAGGTTGTCATGTGAAAGGCCCCCTAGAACTGTTGCTAATACAAGCATATCATTACGCATTTTATGCATGTATAAATGACAATGTATGATTACGTATTATATAATATACAAATCAATTGTTAATATTAAGATGGTATTAATCATTACGTATCTCGGTTATTTATGTGATCATGTAAATCCAAAACCCAGGCTTGTCTGGTCAATGTGTTGGACAACGAGGATTCCCAAAACGAAAACGGGGTTTCTTTTTTGTTTTTGTTTTTCCAGCATTCGTCGTGCATTTATTCAAGATTAAGTCATTTTATTTTCCTCAAATTAACTGCTTCACTACGAGGGCAGTAGAGAGGCTCTACGCCTACAAATGTTTCCTTATTCCTATAAGAGGATATTTTGGAAGTCACGAGAATAGACATCAAACGGGAGTGCCTCTGATACGTCTTTACGTTCCTCCTATTCGTTTCCCTAGACAGTCTTGCATTTTCCTATGCCCAAATAAATAGGTCAATGTGCCTCTCTTAAAACCCAAACAAAAGACAACAAAGAGCCAAACAACAATGCTAGATTACTGTTTGTGAATACCTTGATTTCCTTCAGGCAGACAGCACTTTCTCTCCCCCCTTTGAATCAAGTTCCACTTTGTTAAACTCCTGGACGCTCACAGATCAAGACATGGTGAACCATGAAGAGTTTGCTTCCATGTGAGGAAGAAAACCAGAACCACTTGCTCACATCACTAATTGAGATGGCCACACGAGTAAAGCACAATTTTCGTATCCTATCTAATCCAGATCTGATCGGTCAAGTCTGAGTCATAATTGCTTTCTGGATGTTCCGTCCGCCCGCGGCTTGAAGGACTAATCTATCAGACTCATCATATCGATCATGTTAAGACAACTGACCATTTCTTTCTCCGTCCTTGTTGGAAATAATTAGCCAATAAAGAAAACCACTGAAACAGGATACATCTTTACAATTAATGTAAGGAGTCTATTCTCCAAACTCCAGGTAGTATTACTATCGTAATCTTTAGTACCACTAGACAAAAAATGAGAGAGGGGAGAGGGGGCAGAGAGACAAAGACAGAGAGAGAAAGAAAAAGAGTGTGAGAAAGAGAGAGGGGGCGAAGGAAAGGGAGAGTGACAGGCAGGCACAGAGAGACAGAGAGAGAGAGAGAGAGAGAGAGAGAGAGAGAGAGAGAGAGAGAGAGAGAAAGAGAGAGCAGTAAAGATAAATGCAAATCTTGTCTGCTTGTGTTGAGCAATATTGTAGCAGTCTGAAAAACCGCGAGAGTAAAATCAGCTTAAGGGCTAACATTTACGCAACAAATTCATGTTCAGGGTAATGGAACATAATATTATACGTTATTAATCCCTATGCCCTCTTTGCCTAAGAATATTTCATGACCCCCTTCTCTTCTGTCTACCAGTCTGAGTCAGTATCTGTGTCTGTGTCTGTACATGTGTTTGTGTCTTGTATCTGTGTCTTTCTGTCTGTCTGTCTGTCTGTTTCTCTGTCTGTCTCTGTCTCTGTTTGTCAGTCTGTCTGTCTGTCTCTCTCTCTCTTGCTCTCTTGCCCTCCCCCCCTCT